CCACAGTGTCCTTCAGAGCAGGATGAAAGCATACACGGTGACTTGCTGGTGCAAAAGTTTATAATGAGTGTTGGCATGCGCAGCATCTACCACACACCCAACACTTCCTCCCCCTCCTCCTCCTCCTCTTCCTCTTCGCCACTCCATAAGAAAGTGTGGCCGTCTGCCACCTGCTCCATCCACCATCCTCCCATCGAAACATCTGGAACAACTCTCGCATAGGCTGAGTTACTCTTCTTATCTTATTCGTTGAATGCATCATATTTCGAACGTACTCGATAAAGTCCTAGAACTAAACAGCTGCTTCCTGTATTTGCTCGACGATCCTCTTTAAGACGAAGATATGTATCTTATCCGGTGACTCTCAACGACCAGAACAAGGCCAAAGGCATTCCGTTTCGCACCTAAGGCAAAAATCTCACCTGATCGTTTTTCTTATTGTTGGATATACTAAAGTAGCACAAAATGGCGAACTCTGTAGTAGTACAACATGATACTCACTGTCGAGTCGAACCCGCGACCACACTAGTGGAAGACAGCGACGCAGACCACTGCGCTATCGCCGCACGTCCATGCGGTCGCTCTAAAAGCCTTACAAATTATTTACGACCAACACATGCGGAAACCTCTTGCAGCGGTTGTCAAACGCTAGCCTCAAAGTTAGATCAACTAGAGGTGGAAGTGAAAAACATGAAGAATTTTATCCAGCAGACTTTTCTGACGGAGGATAAATTGGCAGCATCTACGCACAGGGTAACAAGGAGTAGAGCGCGAGACACCCAGTATGAGCAGTATCAGATGCCGGCTATCAGTGGTGACGTGAAACCTCCAAAATCAGCAAAGAATGAGAAAAAGGTGACAGGAAAGACCATGGAGAAAGGTAGCAAAAATCCGAAGGCGAAGATGTCAGACTCGCCAGAAAGGAAATCGAAGGCCGAGGATGAAAATGATACAGATAGACCGACGAAAGAGGAAACTACTCCCCAGACAGTATGCGCACCTCCTGAGCCTGGTTTGGGGGGAGCGTCGACCAACACAGGACCGAATAAAAATGAACCCAGAGTGGGAGTGGAAGTGCATTCTCTTACGAATATTCCTGCAACTAGCGTCGAAGCCCAACTTGGGGAAGCCTCATCATCGGTCAGACCAATTATCCAACGGAATTCGTCGAATGGAGGTGCTGTGGACAGATCACAATGCATAGTCGTCCATGGACTTCGTGAATCAACCAACGATAACCCAAGATGTAGGATAAATGTTGATATGGTGACCTTGCAAGTGTGCCTGGATAGCTTAATAAAAGAAGATGAAGCCATTAAGATTCTGAAACTTTTCCGACTAAACAGTAAAGAAAGCGCGAGCTCTCAAGGGATGAAACCAAGGCCTTTAAAGATAGTTTTAGAAAGTAAACTCCAGAGGGATCTTCTACTTGAACGAACAGTAGGGGGGATCCCTGGCCGTAGGGGTCTTTTTTTCAACCGGATTACTCAGTACA